CAAATAGCAAAGTTTGATTTGTCAGGCCCTTGCTACATATACACCGGTGTACACTTTAGTTTACATTTTGCCACGTGACATTACCATGTTAGACAGTATAAATTTCAAACAATTTTTCCATCCAATTGACACTTAAAAACAATGCAAGTGTCAAACAACGTGTAAAAAATCAGTGTAAAATAGCAAAGTTCAATCGATAAGAACCTTACTACATGTATCCTATGGTGTACACTTTTGTTTACACTTTACCACATGACATTACCTTGCTAGACAGTTTAAAATTCAAACAGTTTTTCCATCCAATTGACACTTGACAATAATGCAAGTGTCAAACAACGTGTCAAAGATTTGTGTACAAATAACAAAGTTCAATCAGTAAGAACCTTTCTACATGTGCACTATGGTGTATACTTAAATTTACACTTTATCATGTGACATTACCCTGTTGAACAGTTTTAATTTCAAACAATTTTCCCATCTAATTGACACTTGACAACAATGCAATTTTAAAAAATGTGTCAAAAATTAGTGTTCAAATACCAAAGTTGAGTCGGTAAGAACCTTGCTACATGTACACTATGGCGTATGTTGTGGAATTTTGTTTCACAAGTGTACGACTCGTAACAAGTAATAGTGGACCTAAAAGTCCAAATTGTCGATCCCACAAGGATTATTTTCTAGCACTTAATTCAATTTTTCTTTAACTACTATTTGGCTAAAATAAATTAAAGGTTGTAAAATCTGGGTTTTCATCTAAATTCTAGAAAATAAATGAATATTCACACAATTGTTTGGAGAATCAAATAATGAGTGGATGCTAGGGTAGAATAACTTCACCAGTTGATCACCTTTACTTCTCAAATTAAAACTTAATTCTAATGTAGTACTCGGTCGAATTCTCCTATTGTATTCAATTTATCCCTCTCAAGTTTTCATTGAGCCTATTCAACTAATTAAACTTCATATCTCTATGCAAATTCAGCTTAGTTAAACGAGTTTTATGTCTTAGGAATTCAATTATGACCGTAATAAATGGTATAGGTATCTCTACTCGTCATACCAATGTACTGGATTTTACTACATGGTCTAAATCCTAAACTCATATCTCTATTTGTAAAGAATTCACAAAAATCATCAAAGTATTGATCAGATAATTTAATGCATTTAACTTATAGCAAAACCAACACATGGAAGAATTAAAAATTGAAAGTCTTAATAAGAAAATGTAAAAGATCCCAATTGGTTACATTATTCCCCCCTAACAATGAATTTAGCTACTCATAATACAAGAAGAAAAGTAGGAATTTGTCTTAGAATACATCACTGAGTTTGTAATAAAGATGTAAAAGAAAAAGTAGAATTCTTGCACCAAGATCTCCTTCCTCTTCCAATGAATGCTTCTAATCTTCAATTGCTTGGTATTAATCTTCTTGAATTTCTCTTTTGAATCTCCCTTCTTGTTGTCTTCTCTCCAATATGTCAAGAACCCTTCAAAAGTATGAGAATGATGTACTTATAGGTGCCCCCCCCATTTTATGTAGAAGTAGGGTTTTTATGGATTTAAAAACGGCCCAAAAAAATGCACCCTAGATCTTCAATCGCAGCGCCTAGGAGCTTCGTCTTCAGCGCCTAGGCGCTGATGGTAGTGCCTGGATGCTATGGTTGTGGCACCTAGGCGCTATGTTGCAGCACCTAGGTGCTGCCTCTCGGGTCCAAATTTCATCTTTTTTCAGTTTCGTAGCGCCTAGGCGCTATGAATGCAGCGCCTAAGCGCCATCTTTCTGCCCTAATTCCGTATTTTTGGCCTCTTCTTCCACTTTAATACTTCTTTTCACATCGCTTTTCCTAATCTTCAAAACAACACTAACAAACACATAAAAAATGTTCTATACTCACAAGATCTAGCATTTAATCAAGCTAAAATTCTGCAAAAATCATGAGTGAAACAAACTCATCAAATACCCCCAAACTTAACCATTTGCTAGTCCTCGAGCAAACACCAACACCCATAAAATAATTAAGGGACACACAAGTACAACTAAGACAAACAAAATCACTTAAAATAAATTTCGCTGGATAGCTTGCCTTCATGTCTTAGGATTAAAAACATAACTTCGATTCCATGAACCACTTCAAAGCTATAATGCAAAAGCTAAATTCTTACCTATTCAATGTAAAATGGGTGTGTGTGTATGTGTGGAGAGTCAAGTGCAATGCTGTACAATAATAAGATGACCCAATTCCTGACCTTAGAAGTCAAAATTTTCCTTACTTTGCTCGTGGGATTCACACACCCCTAAACTTATTTTCTTTTCTCTTTCCAAGGGTGTAACCCAAGGTTAAATTTTCAATACTAATTTCTTACACCACTCAAGTTTGGTTAAATTTTACTGATTGTAGTTCCACATGTCAACAAGTGAGGATTCTCCTTATTTTTGACTGCTTCAACCTCTAGGAATCAACCAAGTTACTAACCCCTTATCAAAGGTCTAATCCTCTAAAACAAGTGTTCGGGGCTTAATCAAGGCATTTGATATCTATTTTTTTCTCTTTTTTAAAATTTTTTTCCTTATATATCTTTATTCTGTAATCAATCTTTGTGCGGACGTCTCTCCCTTTAGCTTTCTAAATGACCCCTATAGCGAGTTTTAGGCCGATGACTCCCAAATCAGATGGCTTTAAGGCACTAGATTTTAAACCCTTACAGGCTTAATCACTTGAGTCATAAGGGCTACGAAGAGACAATACACAATGAAATTATTAAAGTTGTCATCATTGGGATCTTTTTTTTATGCAGTGATTAGTGCAATGCCCCTTATTAAACACCTATCCTCGAAAATCGAACTCTAACTTAAGGTTTTCACCCAATTTTCATCCTATTGCTCTCAGACAATCCACACAAAAATTAACACACACAAAATCCACATTTATCTCCAAATTTTCCTACGACAGTGCAATCATCCAAACGTCCTAAGTTTGGTTTAAGGGTATTGTGATGTTTAATGGTTGTTTGGGTTTAGCATCTAAGTTTTCTATTTCAACCTATAAACATGAATCAACCTCCTCATGCACAATGCTACAATCAACTCACGTGCAAAAAATAATTTGCGTTTCACATGAATAAGCAAAAATCTAACTCAAACACATAACTCGTCCACAATTCATAAATCAACGCATGTTCTCAATTACACATATCAATACCAACAAGGTTATCTAACACACACAAGCATGCAAAAACATGAAATGAAATTTTTTTTCTTTTTTTTTTTGAATAAAAACACAAACACAAAAAATAAGCAAATCACACATAAGCATTCGAGAAACTCAACAATGTAAGAAAATGATGTCACTCCCCAAACTTAACTGAATCATTGTCCTCAATGTGAAATTTAAAGGAAAAGGAGGACTTCCCTGAAATGTCAGTATTGTCTATGATGTGGTGGTGTCTTGGTATTGCATTTGATCGACTCTTCTTCTACATTTTCCCCCAAACTTGAGATTTGTCCCATTTTCTCCATATCCATGTTGGTTTGAGTGTTCCACGAAGTCATATTCCTAAAAAATTAAATTTGAAAAATTAAACTTATGGAACAAGGATTACTTAGCTCAAACATCTAATAACCAACTTAATTACTCCAAGACCTATGGGTAGAAGGGGTATGGGTGATGATTCCTAAATAAATTATAAATTAAACTATCTTAGAACTTTAAAAACAAAATAAATAAAATAAAAGGTTGGGTTGCCTCCCAAGAAGCACTTCTTTTAAGTCATTAGCTTGACTTGTGCCGCTGATTTATCATGGTGGCTCAAACCAAGTTATTCCATCATTGCACTTTTGTGCAATTTTCATTGATGTAGTCCTTTTTTGCTCTCCAAATTTTGATTTGTCCATTCTTATCTCTACCAATAAGTTCTCCAAATTTTTTTTTTATTTTGACAGCTTCATTGATCAGGTGGCTCTTCTTCATCAATTCTATAGCAATCATTTTTATTGGGAGGTTTCTCATATTGGATGTAATTATTGAATATCTCCTGCTTGTCCTCCACCCTCAAGATTAGTTCTCCCTTCTCCATGTCAACGGTCAACCCAATATAATTGGAATGTCTCGATCTTCTGGCATGTCCAATACAATGATATCTACAGAAATATTAAATTTCCTACTTTTATGAATACATCCTCAACTTTGCCACGTGGCCTTGCGATTGTTCTATCAGCGAGTTGTAGCGTTATTGATGTTGAGTTGACTTCACCTAGTCCCAATTTCCTGTAAGCAGAATACAACATTAGATTGATACTAGCACCAGTGTCACACAATGCATTAGTTGAATAGGAATTTCCAATTGAAACTGGTAAAGTAAAACTCCCTAGATCCTTCAATTTAGGAGGCAATTTTCTCTGGACTCTTGCACTACTTTCCTCAGTTAATGCCACAGTTTCAAACTTCGGAAGCTTTCTTTTCTTTGTCAACATCTCTTTCAAAAATTTCTTATAGCTTAGAATTTGTAGTATCGCATCTATGAACGGAACATTGATCTGGAGCTTCTTGAGAACATCAAGAAATTTTTCATAGTTTGTGTCTTGTTTGTTCTTCTTGAGCTTTTGAAGAAAGGGAATGGGAGGCATGTAAGATTTGTCTAGACTTGGTGCTTTTACAGCTGATGTTTCTGTACTTTCTCCATTTTCAGTTGCGTTTGGTACATATTTTTCTACCCTTGTAGCTTCATCAATCATTTCTTGGTCATCTTTTCTTTTGGGTCTCTCTGTAGTGATCTTTGGTGCTTGTACCTCACTCTTTGTATTTATGACATGAATATTTTGCTCCATCGACTTCTTTCGAAGTCTTTGGGAAAATGGAAGTGGAGGTACATATGCTTTAACTTTTAAGGGAGCCTTAGGTGGATCGTTCTCCACTACTTTAATTGCCATCAACTGTTCCTCAGGATTTATCATTGTATTGCCTGGTAATGTCCCTTGTGGACGTTCTGCAAGTTGTGCTATCTAACCAATTTGTGTCTCCAGTTTCTTGATGGATGCCTGCTGATTTTGAAAGTTCGTGTCAATTTGTTGGAACACCTTGTCCGTCTTCTGCACATATTTTTGAAACATCTCCCCCAAACTTGGTCTTTTTTCTTGCTGGAAATTATTACAGTATGAGTTGAAATTATGGGAGCTATTTTGAATAAAGTTTACTTGTTTCTCTGAAGAAGTGAGCATCATACAGCTCTCTGTAGTGTGATTTCTCCCACAATTCTCACATACTGAACTGGCCATCATTGCATTTGCTCCATGCGTTTGCAATTTTACAAGTAACTCTACCTGTTTTGTTAAAGTTGCTATCTCTGCATTGGTAGATGTTGTGCTGTCTAATTCATACATTCCTGGTGCCTTTGGTGGTACCATTCTTTCTAATGAGAACATTGAATGTGTGGTGGCAATTAACTCAAATAGGTCCATGGTTTGTTGCACTGATTTCCCTATGATTGATCCTCCAGCAGAGGCATCAACTTGAGATTTTGACAATGGTGTAAGTCCGGTATAGAAGTAATGCACTTGGTTTCCTTGAGTGATTCCATGGTTTGGACATTTTCTCATCAGCTCATTAAATCTATTCCATGCCTCGTGATAGCTTTCTCCCTCTTTCTGTTGAAAAGTTTGAATTTCCAATCTCATTTTAGCTACTCTAGCTGGTGGGAAGAATTTGTTGCAGAATTTCCTGGTTAGTTCTTCCCATGTAGTAATACTGGCATGAGGCTCTGCATCTAACCACTCTAATGCAGCATCTCTCAATGTAAATGGAAATAGTCATAATTTAATAGCATCTTCATTGACCCCTGGAGTATGGAAGTTCTGACAATTTCTGAGAATTTTGGAGATATGTGTGTTCGGATTCTCATGAGGTAGCCCGTAGAATTGCAGAGTCTTGCTCATCAAGTTAATCCAATCTGACCTGATCTGAAAGTTATTCACCCCAAAATCTGGATACACAATACTGGAGCGCATGGGTGCTGCTATAGGTGTCAAGAACATTGATACTGGCAAATCACCTTCATTTATTTCCCCTCGCTCATGCTGCTGTTCCGGTGGTGCCACCACTCTTGCGGCCATTTGCCCAATTGGCTGAATAGGGACATGGATTTGTTGATTGTCAGCCATTTGATGTTGCTGTTTTTGTTTGTGTTCCTTGCGTCTTCGTCTGAAGGTACGTTCTATCTTCGAATCAAACGGTTCAAGATCGTCACCTTGGGCACGGAGCATACAACGAACACAATTTTTTGTAAATAAAAGAAAAACAAATAAATCAAATAACAGTTGAAATAAAAAAAATTGAGACTAGAAGAAATAGTCCCCGACAACGGCGCCAAAAACTTGTTGTGAAATTTTGTTTCGCAAGTGTACGACCCGTAACAAGTAATAGTGGACCTAAGAGTCCGGATTGTCGATCCCACAAGGACTATTTTCTAGCACTTAATTCAACTTTTCTTTTACTACTATTTGACTAAAACAAATTAAAGGTTGTAAAATCTGGGTTTCCATCTAAATTCTAGAAAATAAATAAATGTTCACACAATTGTTTGGAGAATCAAATAGTGAATGGATGTTAGGGTAGAATAACTTCACCAATTGATCACCTTTACATCTCAAATTAAAACTCAATTTTAATGTAGTTTTCGGTCGAATTCTCCTAATATATTCAATTTACCCTTCTCGAGTTTTCATTGAGCCTATTCAACTAATTAAATTTCATATCTCTATGCAAATTCAACTTAGTTAAACGAGTTCCATGTCTTAGGAATTCAATTATGATCGCAATAAATGATATAGGTATCTCTACTCGTTATACCAATGTACTGGATTTTACTACATGGTCAAAATCCTAAACTCATATCTCTATTTGTAAAGAACTCACAAAAATCATCAAATTATTGATCAGATAATTTAATGCATTCAACTCATAGCAAAATCAACACATGGAAGAATTAAAAACTGAAAGTCTTAATAAGAGAATGTAAAAGATCCCAATTGGTTACATTATTCCCCTTAACAATGAATTTAGCTACTCATAATACAAGAAGAAAAGTAAGAATTTGTCTTAGAATACATCACTAAGTTTGTAATAAAGATGTAGAAGAAAAAGTAGAACTCTTGCACCAAGATCTCCTTCCTCTTCCAATGAATCTTCTAATCTTCAATTGCTTGGTGTTAATCTTCTTGAATTTTTCTTTTGAATCTCCCATCTTGTTGTCTTCTCTCCAATATGTCAAGAACCCTTCAAAAGTATGAGAAAGATGTATTTATAAGTGCCCCCCCATTTTATGTAGAAGTAGGATTTTTATGGATTTAAAAACGGCCCAAAAAAAAGCGCCCTAGATCTTCAATCGCAGTGCCTCGGCGCTATGGTTGTGGCACTTGGGCGCTATGGTTGCGGCGCCTAGGCGCTGCCTCTCGAGTCCAAATTTCATCTTTTTTTAGTTTCGTAGCGCCTAGGCACTATGAATGCAGCACCTAAGCCCCGTCTTTCTGCCCCAATTTCGTGTTTTTGGCATCTTCGTCCACTTTAATACTTTTTTTCACATCGCTTTTCCTAATCTTTAAAGCAACACTAACAAACACATCAACAACTTTCTATACTCACAAGATCTAGCATTTAATCAAGCTATAATTGTGCAAACATCATGAGTGAAACAAACTCATCAGCATACCCTTTTGTTTACACTTAGCCATGTGGTATTACACTGTGAGATAGTATAAATTTAAAATAGTTTTCCCACCCAATTGACACTTGACAACAATGCCAGTGTCAAACAACGTGTCAAAAATCAGTGTACAAATATCAATGTTCAATCGGTAAGAACCTTATTACATGTACACTACGTAACATTACCCTGTTGGACAGTTTAAATTTCAAACAGTTTTCCCATCCAATTGACACTTGATAACAATGTAAGTGTTAAACAACATGTTAAAAATCAGTGTACAAAATTAGTGTCAAACAACGTGTCCAATCCAATTGACATTACCCTGTTGGACAGTTAAAATTTCAAACAATTTTCCCATCCAATTGAGAATTGACAACAATGCAAGTGTGAAACAACATGTCAAAAACTAGTGTACAAATAGCAAAGTTCAATCGGTAAGGACCTTGTTACATGTACACTATGGTGTACACATTTGTTAACACTTTGCTACGTGACATTACGCTATTCGACAGTATAAATTTCAAATAGTTTTCCCGCCCAATTGACACTTGACAACAATACAAGTGTCAAAAAACGTGTCAAAAATCAGTGTACAATTAGTAAAGTTCAATGGTAAGAACATTGCTATATGTACACTATGGTGTACACTTTAATTTAAACTTCACCACGAGACATTACACAATTGGACAGTTTAAATTTCAAATAGTTTTCCCATCTAATTGACACTTAACAACAACACAAGTGTCAAACAACGTGTCAAAAATTAGTGTACAAATAGCAAAGTTCAATCGGTAAGGACCTTGCTACATGTACACTATGGTGTACACTTTAGTTTACACTTTGCCACGTGATATTACCCTGTTGGACAGTTTAAATTTCAAATAGTTTTCCCGCCCAATTGACACTTGACAACAATGCCAGTGTCAAACAACGTGTCAAAAATCAGTGTACATAAGAACCTTGAGACATGTACACTATGGTGTACACTTTAGTTTACACTTTGCCACGTGATATTACCCTGTTGGACAGTTTAAATTTCAAATAGTTTTCCCGCCCAATTGACACTTGACAACAATGCCAGTGTCAAACAACGTGTCAAAAATTAGTGTACAAATAGCAAAGTTCAATCGGTAAGGACCTTGCTACATGTACACTATGGTGTACACTTTAGTTTACACTTTGCTTAGTGCCATTACCCTATTGGACAATTTTAAATTTCAAACGGTTTTCCCATCCAATTGACACATGAAAGCAACGCAAATGTCTAACAACGTGTCAAAATCAGCGTACAAATAGCAAAGTTCAATCGGTATGAACCATGCCACATGTACACTATGATGTGCATTTTAATTTACACTTCGCCACGTGAAATTACCCTGTTAGACAGTATTAATTTCAAATAGTTTTTCCATCCAATTGACACTTGACAACAATGCAAGTGTCAAACAACGTTTCAAAAATCAGTGTACAAATTACAAATTTCAATCGGTAAGGACCTCACTATGTGTACACTATGGTGTACACTTTTGTTCACACTTTGCCACGTGAAATTACCCTGTTAGGAAGTATAAATTTGAAACTATTTTCCCATCCAATTTACCATTGACAACAATGCAATTGTCGAACAACTTGTCAAAAATCAGTGTACAAATAACAAAATTCAATCGGTAAGAACCCTTGCGACATGTACACTATCATGGACACTTTAGTTTACACTTTGTTACGTGACACTACCTTGATGGACAGTTTAAATTTCAAACTATTTTTCCATCCAATTGACACTTGACAATAATGCAAGTATTGTACAACGTGTTAAAAATTAGTGTACAAATAGCAAAGTTTAATCGACAAGAACCTTCCTGCTTGTACACTATGGTGTACACTTTAGTTTACACTTTGCCACGTGATATTACCCTATTGGACAGTTTAAACTTCAAATAGTTTTCCCATCTAAATGAAACTTTACAACAATGCAAGCGTCAAACAACGTGTCAAAAATCAGTGTACAAATAGCAAAGTTCAATCGGTATGAACCAAGCTGCATGTACACTATGGTATACATTTTAATTTACACTATGTCACGTGACATTACCCTGTTGTACAGATTAAATTTCAAATAGTTTTTCCAGCCAATTGACACTTGACAACAATGCAAGTGTCCAGCAACTTATCAAAAATCAGTGTACAAATTGCAAAGTTCAATCGATAAGAACTTTGCTACATGTACACTATGGTGTACACTTTAGTTCCCACTTTGCCACGTGACATTACCCTGTTAAACAGTATAAATTTGAAACAATTTTCCCATCCAACCCTTACCAACAATGCAAATGTCAAACAACTTGTCAAAAATCAGTGTACAAATAGCAAAGTTCAATCGGTAAGAACCTTGCGACATGTACACTATGGTGTACACTTCAGTTTACACTTTGCTACGTGACACTACCTTACTGGACAGTTTAAATTTCAAACAATTTTTCCATCCAATTGATACTTGATAACAATGCAAGTTTCATACAACGTGTCAAAAATCAGTGTACAAATAGTAAAGTTCAATCGGCAAGAACCTTGCTACATGTACACAATGGTGTACACTTCACTTTGCACTTTGCTACGTGACACTACCCTGTTGGACAGTTTAAATTTCAAACAATTTTTTCATCCAATTGACACTTGACAGCAATCCAAGTATCATACAACCTATCTAAAATCAGTGTAGAAATAGAAAAGTTCAATCGTGTTATGAGTTTACGTTTTAAATTATTATATTGTTTGGACACACGTATCCTACTGAGTGTAATTACTCACTCCTTCAATTTCAATATTTCAGATCAGTACGGTCAACGTGGATGGTGGCTGAGCGATGCGCGGGTTGCCAAGTAAAGAAAAACTTCGCAAGAAAACGTTTTAAAATAATTCAGTTAGGATTATGTGCTTCAATTTAATTCTGTTTAATGTTCTTTGTTTACGCGACATTTTGTTTATTCAATTTGGTATTTGAGTATTAAATAAATCAAGAGTTTTAAATTTTGAATTAAATATTTTTGCTTTATGTATGCGTTACAAAATGATATCGGTAACACCTCAAAATTTTAAGTCGATAAAATTTGGGGCGTTACATGGACACTTTAGTTTACACTTTGCCACGTGACATTACCTTGTTAGACAGTATAAATTGGTATAAATTGGTGTGCAAGTAGCAATGTTCAATCGGTAGGAAGCTCGCGACATATACACTATGGTCTACACTTTTGTTTACACTTTGCCACATGACATTACCCTGTTGGACAGTTTTAATTTCAAATAGTTTTTCCATCCAATTGACACTTAACAACAATGCAAGTGCCAAACAACGTGTCAAAAATCTGTGTACAAGTAGCAATGTTCAATAGGTAAGGACCTTGCTAC